CACACGCTATAAATCACAGTGATTCACACACTTTACTTATGGTGCCTACTGTTCACTTGACTCAATTATCTATCTCTTCAGTCTATCTGCCCCCGCTGGTGTTTCTCACCAGGCTTATATATTAAAAAAGAGGGCAGCTCGATCAGACTAGAGTTGCCGGGCAAATTCATGATCCTTCGAGAAACTCCAGTGCGCATGCTTCCAGCATTACATGACTTCCACTGTCGTAACAATGCATATATAATCTTGTTAATCTATATAGGTTGTATCATGTATAGTTCTGAAGTACTGACAGCTAAATACATACGAGGCCTGTGAGAAAAGTATCCGACCTTTGGCCGGGGAATAAAAACTGGCATACCTGGAGCGTTGGAAACCTAATCACCCTCAAAGTAGTCTCCTTAGGTTCAACTACTCTAAACATAAAACCAGTAAACAGAAAGATAACTACTTTGTAACTATGTATATATGTGGTAGGTTCAACTACTCTAAATATAAAATCAGTAAATAGACAGATAACTACTTTGTAACTATGTATATATATGGTAGGTTCAACCACTCTAAACATAAAACCAGTAAACAGAAAGATAACTAGTTTGTAACTATGTATATATGTGGTAGGTTCAACTCTGTTTACTGATTCTATGTTTAGAGTAGTTGAACCTACCAATATATACATAGTTACAAAGTAGTTATCTTTTATATATATGATAGGTTCAACTACTCTAAACATAGAATCAGTAAAAAGAGACAGATTGTTAATACACTGGGGTACCACAATAATGTGATCCATATCACAAGACTGCATCATATGTGAGACCGCATTATAAAAAGGTCCTTTCAAAAGTGCCAAGCCAATTTCATTGGCTAAGCCCCTTAACTAGTCATGAGGCAGCCATCTCTAGTTCTAAATTTAACTGCATGTTTTATTATTAAAAATTTATTATAAAAAAAAACAATGAAAGCATAACTGATAATCCAACAGTTAATAAAAATAATTGTTTTTTGAATATTAAATATCATGTTTATTTAAATTCATATTTTCATACAGTGTGACCTGAATGAAAAAGTTTGAGAATAAAGTTTCATTTTACTGAATTGCTTATTCGATGATAATGAGTATTATCTGGCAGAAGTCTGTCATTTGTGGAGAATTTATAATTCAGCAATGTTTGACCCAGCATGTAAAAGACTGAAAATACATTCTGAAAGGATAAATTTAAATGAACACTTGTGTCCAAGACAGACCTGAGTTATACCTAGTGGGGCCCCAGTGTATGTATATACAATAGCTTCAGCTACTGTAAACACTGAACCAGTTAATAGACAGACATCTACATTGTAAATAATCACATATCTAAACATCAATGATTATTCTGGATGGTTTAATTAAATATTACAATTCAACTCAAGTCAAAAGCATTCATTTAATATTCTTTAAACCAATGTTGAAAAAGTTATATCAATAACAACTTTGTTTTAAATATGTTATAAAAATTTCTGATTGATAATAAGTAACTCAGTAAAGCATAAAACTACATTAGCTCAAAAAAAAACTTACTTTTTGTATTTTGGAAAACAATAGAAGAAAATTCCAGAAAAGTCACAAGCAAGTTGGAAGGTGGAGTGTGAATGTCAGTGAGATCAGCTGAACCTAGTAGACATGACAGAAGTTATTAACTATCATGTATGTCTGCACTTTGAATACTGCTCAAGTATTATCTATTCAAAAAGTAAACATTATAATCTGATGATATAAGAAAACATTTGAGTAAATGGTGTGAATATGTATTAACATCTATACTGAGTGGCACACACACAAAAAACTATATCCTAAAAAAAATGTATAAATACAGATAAAAAAATTTAATTTTAAAAATTCATTATGCACTTGTAAGATGCTTCAATGCAAATTTTGTTAACCTTGACTTGTTCCTTCTGATGACACAGGAGTAGGAGAAGTTGAAGGTCCACAAGAGTCAGTCAATGACTGGAAAAAACAATTTATATTCTGTTTTTAATACTGAAATGTAAGGCTTCCTAAGTCTAATATTTTCATTACAGAACATCTGACAGTCTACATACCGACTAGATTGAAAACACAGTTGCTTTTTAAAGCAACTTAGTGAAATATCTTAAAAGTTAACATAAGCTAGAATGGTTATATTACTTCTAGAAATAAAGAAAGTAATCAAAAATGTAAAATTTCATATTATTTTCAAATTCCCATAGAATAAGTTACAATACAACCACACATATCACAATTCATGATGGGAGAGCATCCTTAAGTAAAAATTATATACTTAAAGGAGAAACATCATCTAACTTCTGGAAAATATGTCTCAACATTTATGTATGCACTTTTCAATGCATGTGTTAATCTTTTATTTCTCAAACATGTAATCAGATGTCATTTAAAGCTTATTGAATAACAACAAAAAAAAGATAAGAGTACCCCAAACGTACTCTAATTCCTGGCATGTATTTGCAGAAGTGTATTTTATGCTATTATGTAAAAATACTGAATATATATTCCAACATCTAATTCCTGTCATATATATTGAAGAAGTGTATTTTATACTAAAATGTAGAAATACTGAATAAATGCCACAATATTTAATACCTGTCATATATATTGCACAAATGTACTTTGTATTAACAATATATAAAAATACTGAATATATATTCCAACATCTAATTCCTGATTCAATATTTCTACATTTTAGTATAAAATACACTTCTTCAATATATATGAAATATATATGACAGGTATTAAATATTGTGGCATTTATATATTATTAATACAAAGTACATTTGTGCGATATATATGACAGGTATTAAATATTGTGGCATTTATTCAGTATTTCTACATTTTAGTATAAAATACACTTCTTCAATATATATGATAGGAATTAGATGTTGCAACATTTAATCAGTATTTTTATTCAATATTTCTACATTTTAGTATAAAATACACTTCTTCAATATATATGAAAATGCTGCAATATTTAATACTTGAGATATTACAAGTGTATTTTATACAAATAATACGTATAAAAATAATGAATAAATGTTACAGCATCTAATTCCTGGCACATATATATTGCAAAGTGTATTTTATACTAATATATAAAAACACTGACTAAATGCTACAATGCCTGATTCTTGTCATACACACTCACATATATTTTATATTAATAATATACAAAAATAATGATCAAAAGTTTCAAAACCTAATTTTTCAGTTCTATTTTTGATGAAACGTATGGGAATCTAGTATCTTATTTTTTCCTTTAACATCATGGGTGAACTGGGACTCTTTCTAATACAAAAGTTTGTAGCATTAAACTACCAGTCCTCATTAAACTTACAAATATGTAAACTGTGCTTCATTTCATGTACATATCTACTTCTTTCAGAGTAATCAACAATGAAAACTAGACACACAAAATCAGCTTCTATTGTATCAATATGTTCAGTAATTACCAGTTACATGAAATGAGTACTGTACACTTCTACAAATATTTTTGTAAATCTTCACAACAAATCCCAAAGTATTTAAAGCTTGATAATTTGAAAATGATTAAAAAATTTGAGCAAATGTTTTGAATAGAAAAAAAAAATTGAAATGTTTAGTTCTTTTTACGTGAGGCTTAGGTTCTCTGCCACAAGCTTAAGACCACATCTAACTAAGATCCTCTTAAGTTGTCCATGTATTCATTGTTCTAAATTCAATGTTCAAAACATGTTCAATAACAGTCCATATAATTATACCATTAGTAATACTAACACCTCATCTCAATCATTCCGAAAAACTATGGCACTGTTCAAACTTTTTTAGATATTCCTTTACATATAAACCACAGAAGTAATTGGAAAATCAATGTACAAAAAAAGTATTTCAGTTAATGGGAAAATCAGTGTGAAAAAGTTTGATATACATATGTATCTTACTGCCAATCTGATTATTAAGCGCATACATTTTAAAATGTTTGAGATATAAAAAAACTCAATGAAATAAATTTCTTATAATGCTTACATACTCCAATTTTTTTTTACTGTAAACCACTTTCTGTAAATTTTTATAACAATAATATTAGGCAAAAATATAACTCTTCAAAATCAGCTCCTACTTACATATATAGAAGCCATAAAGTTTACCATGCATATTAAACAACTCAAGCATAGAGTCAGACTGAAAACAGTTACCCATGTGAAGAAATGATGCTTTGCGTGTGAGAAACCAATGACATTTTTTATAAAGAATACAAAATACATAGTATCGTTCAATAAAACAACAAATCACTTTCCAGAGAAAGATGTAATTACAGTCTGCTTTCAAACTAAAAAGCTTCAAGCAAATAACACATTATACCATCATCTTCACATAAATCACTGTTTAGTTCAAACCCATACTTTATTCAGACTTATGGGCCTGAATGATGGTTTATTTTCAATGTCAGCTTCACTATCATCACACTCTTGAAGAGAGACAATGGAAATAATGTCTTCATCTGACAAGTCTTGACCAATCGGTTCAGCTGAATCAAAGTTGAGCCACTGATCAACTAACATAGCATCATTAAGGTATGAATTTCAGAAGCAATTTCATTAACAACTTCTGAGATCTCAATAGTTTCACTCTGTTCATGCTGAGGCCAATTCTTAAGATGCTTGGAGCAGTTTTTGAGCTCTTATACTAATACTGGACCACGTGAAACAATTTGTAAATACTCATGGATATTTGCTGATGGTATCAAGGCTTACGCTTGTATAAACAATCATCAGGTTTCAGTGATACTGCTATTTTTATGTTTTGGAGCACTGTGACATGACGTGACTGTAGCATCACTCATTCTGATGACTTTTCAATATCTGTTACAGTTTATATGTACATCCCTACTGTTAAGGTTGTTCTCAGTAAAACTGTTGTAAAGTGACACCCAATATGAGTGAAGGCCATTCTCAGAAAGAGTCTCTGGTATCCACTAGTTAGTAAGATGTTTCGTGGTCAGTAATTACTACCTTGTTTCCTGTTTCTGATAGACCCCTACTTGATTCTCATAGAGTCATGTATGGATTATCGAATCAATTATCAATAGAAAATGCATGTCTGTTATAAGAAATAGCTATTCAGACTTGGAGCACGAATATATGGATTATTCATTAAATTTCTCCTTATGAATATTCGTCTATACAGAAAAATCATCTGGCCTGTGAATAATGCAAATTGTTGGTGTCCAGACTAGTGAGAGTTCAATGTATTTACTTAACATAGACTCCATAAAATGCCCAGAAAGAGTTATGCTTCATTGAAGAGTGTAGTCTATAACTGATTCAGATGATTATGGGGCAAATGTGAAAATGAACTAAAATAGGTTGGTATTCATCTAGTGACAGTGCCAGCCAAGGAAGATGTGAAATTATTGGAATGTTTAAATATCAAAAATTCAAGCAAAGTGAGTTATTACATTATTGTCTTGAAATAGATTTGTTAATCAGAACAGAAATGCAGCATTGTGAAATAGATGTAAGTGGTAACAAGGCTTAACTTTACAGAAGTCAGGTCACTAAATTAAAACAACTGCCTCACCATGGTATTACAGTCCATGTTGCCATGTCTGATCATGCTCTATCTGATGACAGTGCATCTATACAATAGCCATACACCATAGTTTCCATTGTAATAGGCTCCATAGTAAGGCTGCCATGTCCAAAGTATACCATTCCTCCCTCCAGTCTTTCCTACTCCATATAGTGTATGAGGACAACTGTTTCCCATAACTCATTTCAACAGTCTGATCACACTGAAATCCATAGGTGCTTAGCAATAGGAACTTAGCAATATGAATACCCATTCCATTCTCAAGCTGCTTGAGGTATGTGAAGATTAAACAGATATGTTGTGTAAGTAGATTGTGTACACATGACTTGCCATCTTTCCAGACAGAGGTCCATCTTTATTATGTTATGTCCTGTTGCCTGGAACACGTGGAGATTTTGCTACTTACCATTGTGTTCATGGATTCTAAGCTGTTACAAGATGCTGTGCTTTGCTTACTATGGCTGAGGTACAATTTGTTGTAGGTCTCTTTATGGATGGTTCTGGTGACCTAAGTTGATCCATACTCCTTTGTTTTCTAATGTCATTAACTAAAAGGGATATCTCCATCTTGGAAATTCTATATCCCTGATCTGAACACATCTTTATAAATTGAGTGTATGAACATTTTGCATTGAAAAGAAGTGTTATATACCTTTCCTAAAAGTGATCAATCTTTAGTGGCATCGTGAATTTTACTTTTTTTTTTAGTAAAAAGGAATAATATTAAGAGTACAGATGGTTGAATATATTATATAAAACAAATTTTGAATATGAAAGTCAGCAAGTCCATGACAATCACAACCAATATAAAGTAATGATGGAACAACATATATGTGAACTACATTTTGACATTGATTGGCATTTTGTCGATAATGTATTAGTTTCTTTTAGGTATTGTAAAGCCTTTAAAGCTATAATTTTTAAACATTAGGATCGAGAATATAAGTTGTTCTATTATTTCAAAACGTATGCGTAAACATTTCATTTTTTAAAAGTTTGAATACAGGTAGTTAAGGTTAGTAAAAATATGTAAAAAGTTAACTAAATTTATTAACTGCATTTATTAATATGTTCTGTATACTCTAACAAAGTTGGTATTAGTAATAATAAATCATTAGTAGTGTTTGTCAAAATAAATGTTCATTTTGTAAACATAAAGCAAATTTTATAAGCATTTGTTAAAAGTAGATAACATTTAAGATTGGTGATTTGAAAGGCAAATCTCAGAATTCACAACCACCATAAAGAAGAGGGGCTAATCTTTTATTTTTTTCCAGTTTGTATTTGTTTCTTATTAGTTCTGGAAAAATATCTGTTCAATTTTCTAAGATTCAGAGTTTTTCAATCAAGGAGATGATTAGGAAATCAATCTCTTTCTTCTTGCGACCTTAACCCCATTTTTGTTTGGGGTCAGCTGCTTAGGTTTTACTTCTTCATTGGCTTTCCTCATGAAGCACTTGGCCATGCTTGAGTTCATCCAGCTGTATAAATACTGGAGGTGTTGTAATGTGGAGGGAAGTTTTCTCGTAGCAGGGGAACTTACATGTGTCAGGGCAGTGATAAAGTTTCGGTTCAGATGCACAGCTTCATAAAGGGCCAATAGAACAGCATCATTTGCCCTGCTGAAAAATTCAACATTAGTACAGTAACATACAAGCTTTTCAAATCAGCAATAAATGCACCCTATGAATCCATGTAACTCAGTACAAAAAAGCAACAACAAAGAATTAAAACACAGCATTACATTTAAGTTGGGTTTAACCAATGTTAAAAAGATATGTACAACATGTATACAGCTTACCATGACCATTTACAATACTTATCTAGTGAGGTTTAAAAGCTATACCCAACAACCTCATTTGCACGTACACTAGGAGTTTCAACCCCAGGAATCCTGATCACCAAATTCCATGATATAAAGAACAGATTCTCATTATTTTTATTTACAAATTACACGAGATCACAAATATTCCCTCATATTTTCTTCTGACAGTGGTGATACTTATCCAAATCACAATAAAAATCTAATCAATGCAGTTTCTTAATTATGCATCATTAAAAGATAATAGAAAGCTTATGTATTCAAGTTTAATTGCTTACACACTTGATAATGAGTAACCTTTCTTGCAGTACGATGATGACACACAAAAAAGGGATCTGATTCAAGCACTCATAAGACAACAGTTTTAATCACCAAACTATTAGTGCAAATGCTTAAAGTTTTACCAATCTCCTTTGTTTGCATTATTTTTTAATCATTGAAACTACATGTGGAATGTAGATAGTTTAATTACTTTTAATTAAAACAAAATAGAACACAGATAAATAAAAGATTTTGAATCCTGGGATTATAGCCATTAAAGTCTAAAGATTAAAAAAAAAAGCTTTGGTACTACATCCCGTAATATACATATCTTATACTTACCAAGACCATGTAGAAGATTTAAATATAGATGAATGTTCAAGGGTTATAGACAACCTGATCTAAAAGAACCCAGTTTATCAAAACCATACAGTAGGTTTATATGCTATTGTTTCAGAGCTGTGCATAATATGACTTGGGCCAGGCATAGTTTACTATTTAACAGGCCAGGCTGCAACGTTCCAAACTGTGATATGTTACTAAACATGTTCAACACTTTCAGTTATGTACCCATTATAAGTGATAGTCAATTGTTCTGAACCAACTGGCCAAGTGCGCAGCAACGTCAAAGTGATGCTGACTGTTTTCTTTGACTCCCGCGGTGTGGTAC